CTCCCGCTGCAGCTGCTCGCCGGGCTCGCCGGGCCCTGCCCGCGGGGCTCTGGCCGCTCCCGCCTCGGCCGCCACCGGTGCCGCCGCTGGTGACCACTCGCCGTGCTGCCGGAGGCTTCACCCGCGCCCTCCCTCAGGACGCGCCCGCGGAACTCCGGCCCCTTCGTCCAGGACGCGGAGGCCGGAAGATGGCCTGGGTGCTCAAGATGGACGAGGTGATCGAGTCCGGGTTGGTGCACGACTTCGACGCCAGCCTCTCGGGCATCGGGCAGGAGCTGGGCGCCGGTGCTTACAGCATGAGGTATTGGGCGCTTCGGGGCCAGGCGGGCGGTCGGTCATCTGGGGAGTCTCTGCTTGCGGCCCGTAATGTTGGGTCTTTGCCCGGCGCGGCTGCGCCCAAGCGGTGCCCGGGCCTCCCCGGCCGCGGGCTCGGGCCCTGACGCATGGTTGTCGGCAGACACTGTGCCTCACAGGCCGTTGCCCACCTTGTTATCGAGCGTGGAAGGGCGGTTGGAAAGCTTTAGCCTGGGAATCGTTCCCGAGGGCTTTTATTTATTTATTTATTTATTTTCTCTGTGACATACGCCACTGTGGAAATGGTTTGGGAGAAAGGTCTTCCTTCCCGTGCGATGGAGATATGGAGTACAGTGTATGAAGTGGCAGGATTTATTTACTTTGGAGAAATATTCTTCAAACGCTTTGGTATCAATACCTACTTTGTTGCTCTACTACATTGTAGTTCTTGTTAGGATAGTATATCATAAATGAGAGAGAAACAGCAGGAGAAAAATATCCACACTGACTTTAGCTGTTTTTGATAGTCTTAAAGTGGACTTTATAATTTTGGGGGTTTGCGTCTCATGCAGCTTTTTCTTCAAGAGAACTTTCAGGTGTGATTGCACCACAGTTTTGTTCAGTCAGTGCTGTTTCTGAGCTAGTCTCTTGCCTTCATCCCGAAGAATGCTGTTTTTAACTATCTTCAGTTTAGAAAGTCATTCTCTTTAGTTTTTTCAACAGCTTTATTGAAATGGAATTTACAGACTGTAGAGTTTATAGATTAAAGTTCACAGTTATTTAGCAGTTTTTTAGAATTACCACATGTGTTCTTTAAAGTAATGCCTGGCATCTTTGAAGTGCAGTGTAGTTTCCTAGTAGTTTTCATGCAGGCATGTAACTGCAGCTTTGATGGAGGCCAAGGACCCTAAATGCCTTGAAGACAGACTTTGAGGTCAGAACAGACTTGTTCTTTAAGGTAATCTGAGTTTTACATCATAATGGGAAACTCTGGGCCGTGAAGAGCTACCAGAAAAGTGGAGTCCATCTTCAGAATGTGGAAGCTAGTGGAAGGGAATATTGTAAACTAGTCTTTCAGCCACCAGTTGGCCTCTGCTGATCTCTCTGAATTTGGCACTCTTCTCTCCGTGGTTGTGCAACTTGAAGACACTCGATGAGGTGGTTTGTTTTGTAGAACAACTGTCTCAGTTGTTGAGAAAACTGAAAGTCATGAGGGTCATTCCAGATGAAAGTGCCAGACGCAGTACTTCCCTAGTGGAAACACTCCTTAAGTGCCGTGCTGTTGCTTGGCTCTGCCTGAAACCCTGGGGCTTTCAGTCCAGGTGGAAGAGGGCAGGTTCAAAATGTGCGCATTCTCCCTTGCTTCTCAATTCTCAATTATGGTAAAACGAAAGCTTGTTGCTGTAAACTTTGCTTAATGAGGGTTATTTTTGAGCTTTTTCTAGGTTCCATTTGAGACTTACTTGGTTTAGTGCTTAACCAACTAATTAACATAATCAGTTAATTTTGTTAACTTGTGTTCAGTGGAGTTTGTTTCCATTCATAGCTACCCTACACAGGGTTTTCGAGGCTGTAAATCTTTACCGGAGCAGAAAGCCTTATCTTTCTCCCGTGGAACAGCTGGTAGTTTAAAACAGCTGACCCTGAGGTTAGCAGCCTGATTTGTAACCACTACGTTAGGTAATGTAATATGATGAACTTGTTTCTGGTTTAATTCCCTGAAAAAGAGAAAAAAAATAGATGATATTAAATCTTTTCCTTATTTTGTTCTTAACATAATGCCTGATATTTTTGCAATTGTGTGTTGTTTACAACACTCTGTGGAAAAACTTTTTTTAAATTGTGGTAAAAATATATGGGAAGTATTCGCCAATCTGACAATTTTGCCTTGTGAGTAGGTCAGTGAAATCCATTCTACTCTTCATGCTGTACAACCATCATCCATATTGTTAATGTTTTCCATATTATTCCACTCCATTAGCATAAATTAATTGTCCCCTTTGCACAAATAATCTGTTTGCTATATATACATTTGCCTGTTTTATACAAGTGGGATTGTACAGTATTTGTCCATTTGCAACTGACTCTTTGATCGACATACTTTTGCAAGGTTCATGCTCCACATGCGGCATGCATTCAGACTTTATTTTCATGGCTGAGTAGTATTCCACTCTACATATGTAACACATTTTGTTCATCTATTGATGAACACTTCAATGATTTTCACCGTTGGGCTGCTGTGAACAGTGCTGCTGCAGCTAACACTGTTATACAGTCTTCTGTTTGTGTTTCTGCCTTTGCTTCTGGGCAATAAGCAAGGTAAGCAGGGCATACTTGTGCTACCTAATTAATCTATGGTAAGAGTTTTCACTTACTTTCCACCACATCAAAGATTATATATGCTTCTAAATCTGATGGGCATCTGTTTCTCTCCCAACTCCACAGCACCTCCTACAGAATTAGAGTCTCTTTTCAAATTTGCAATCTCTGGCAGGGTAAGTAGGTAAGCCTGGGCTGACTTTGACTTGTGCTTATCCATGTGAAATTCTTCACTATAGATTAGCTGTTGTTGTTAAGTGCCTTTGAGTTGGTTCCAGTTTTTTATCTTCCTTATTGGGTAGGGATTGCTGGGTCATATGAGAGTTCTGTTCTCAATTTTTTGAGAAACTACCAGACTGTTTCCACAATGGCTATATAGCGTTTTGAACCTCAGTTTCTCCTATCCTCACAATGCTTTTTTTCCTTAGCTATCGTTGCCATTTTAATTGAGATAAGGTAGTATCTCATTGTGTAGTTGCTCTTTGGAAACTCTAGAGAGGGTTGCAGAGTACTGGTATGACGCTGTAGGGTAAGCTCTGGATGCCAAGTTTGAGCCGCAAAATGGCTGTTCAAACCCATCAGTCACTCCTGGGAAATCTTGACTAGAATGACTATGAGTCAGAACCGACTCAATGGCACTTAACAACAACGACATAGAGGGTTCCATGTCCTGGTGTGGTGTGGCAGTGTGGGTTCATGCACTGGACTGAAAAGTTGGTTTGAACCTCAAGGATGGCAGTTCAAGATCACCAGCTGCTCTAAAGAAACCCTATACAGGGCCACTATGATTCATAACCAACTTGGTGGTACTTAACAACAACAGCAGTTCAAACCCACAGCTGCTCTGTGGCAGAAAGATGAGGTTGTCTGCTCTTACAAAGAGTCAGCAGTTTCTGAGTCCCGATACGGGGTTGTTATTAGTTAAAATAGGAGTCCTGGTTGCATAGTGGTTACGAATTGGGCTGCTAACCTCAAGGTTCGAAACTACCAGCAGTTCTGCGGGAGAAAGATGAGGCATTCTGCTCCCGTAAAGATTTACAGCCTCGGAAATCCTGTACAGGGTCCCTGTGAGTCGGAACTGACTCCATGACAAATCATTATCACCACTATCAGTTGGAACCAGTTCAGTGGCAAACCACCATGAGTCAGAATCAGTGACAGTGATTTAATAGCTAAGGAAAGGAGCCATGGTGGCACAGTGGGTTAAACATTGTGCTGATAACTGCAATGTCTGTGGTTCAAACCACCATCCTACTCTGAGGAGAAAGATGAAGCTATCTGTTCCTGTAGAGATTTACAACCTCAGAACCCTATGGAACAGTACTGCTTTGTCCTGTGTGGTCCTTTTGAGTTGGAGACCACTCTGGCAGCACTTAAATAGCTGAAGAAGGAACTCTGGTGGTGCAGTTAAGTGCTTGACTGCCAACTCAGGAGTTACAAGTATGAACTCTCTCAGCTACTCCATGGAAGCAGTCGGCTTCCCATAGAGGGTGCAAACTTGGAAATCCTTTGGGGCAATTCTGCTTTGTTGTCCTCAAGGGTTGGTGTGAGTTGCAAAGATAGCATACAACAGCAATGACTAATGACATTGAGTATCTTTGTATAAGCTTGCTGGACATTTGAATATCATCTGTGGTAAAAAATCTGTTCAAGTCCATTGTTTTGAATTGTTTGTCTTTGTTGTTGTAGACATTTTTTCCCAATCTGTATTTTCACTTTGTTGATAAAGTCCTTTGATATACAGAAGTATTTACATTTTATGATGTCTCATTTATCTATTTTCTTTTGTTGCTGGAGATTTTTTTTGTCTTACCTAGTAATATTGGGTCCCACAACTTCACCCCCACATTTTTCTTAAAAGAATTTTATGGTTATAGTTTTCATTTGATAGTACTTAACAAGTTTTCACATTTATGTCCTTGATTAATTTTGAACTGATTTTTGTGTGTGGTATGAGGGACCTGGATCTTAATTCATTCTCCTGCATAATGGAATTGAATGATATTTGCATACTTGTCAAAAATCATATGTATGGATTTATTTCCTCATTTTCAATTTTGTCCCATTGGTCTTAAAAGTGTGGTACTGTAGGATAAGTACTGGACTGCTAAACACAAGGTTGGAAGTTCAAACCCACCAGCCGCTCCATGGAAACCCTATACAGGATTGCTGAGATTTGGAACCGACTTGACAGCACACACAACAAAGACTGTTTTAGGCATCCTGGTGTAGTGCCTTTGAAAAACACTGAACTACTAACAGCAGGTCTGCACTTCAAACCCACCAGCCTCTCCTTGGAAACCCTGTGCAGGGTCATTATGAGTCGGAACCAACTCAAGGACACTAACAATAGGCTGTTTTAATTACTGTGGCTCTCTAGTATATTTTGAAATAAGTGTGTGCTTCTGTTTTTTATTCTTACAGATTTCTTAAGCTATTCATGATGCCCTGGTGGCACTGTGGGTTAGGTGTTGGACTGTTAACTGCATGGTTGATTGTTCAAACTCACAAGCTTCTCTGTCGCAGAAAGATGAGGCTGCCTGCTCCTATAAAAATTTACAGCCTCGGAAACCTTATAGAGTTGTTATGAGGCAGAGTTGACTTGATGGTAGTGAGTTTAATGGCTAAGGATTGGAGCCCTTCGTAGATTTGACTTTACCATTTCTTTAAAGAAGGTTGTTAGAGTTT